TTTTAAAAACATTTTAATCGAGGAGTAAACAGCCTAATCTGTTGTTATCCTTGCAGCGCGTCAGTTATGCGGTAGCTAATATTGCAGGGCAAATTAATTGCAATTTTAATTTAATAATAAAAGTAACTTCATAATAATAATAATAATAGTCCTAATAAAACTAAGAAAGTAACAGGCCTAAATTAATCTAAATCTTCGATACAAGATCATCGTCTTTCGACGCACCCCAGCAAAAATAGGTTATCGCGGGGCAGACAGCACTTTGCCTGTTACATCGTTTGGGCTGCCTTGTTGAGCGCAGTGGCACTGAGAACATTATATTTCACACACTTAAAGCTCTTTTAGTTTCCATATGTAATAGGATTAGTGCAACGAATCGTTCGGTTAGTAATGCATACCGAACCGAAAGCCTCGTACCAAATGGTTCAATACGAATATGTGTATCGTTACACCCCGTTACAGATAGATGGATGGATGGATGGATATAGATAGATAGATAGACAGACAGACAGACAGACAGACAGACAGAGATAGATAGATAGATAGATAGATAGAAATGGTCAGATTAGATAGATAGATAGATAGATAGATATATAGATAGATTGATAGATAGAAATGGTCAGATTAGATAGATAGATAGATAGAAATTGTCAGATTAGATAGATAGATAGATAGATAGAAATGGTCAGATAGATAGATAGATAGATAGATAGATAGAAATGGTCAGATAGATAGATATATAGATAGATAGATTAGATAGATAGATAGAAATGGTCAGATAGATTGTGAAGCTTTATTTCAAACACACAGACAGCGATTCATCAATCCGTGAGTCATGATCGTAGTTTGTAGATTGTAGTGGGCTGATAAAGTTTCCCACTAGAGCTTTATAAAGTGTAAGAACAGACAACGGGGCGCATATGTGGGCGTTTCCTGCGTCTTGTTAAAGCTGCGCACATGAGATCACAAATGACCTCTGTAAAGAATCTCCACAGCCTCCGAGTTGAAATGAGGTGAGAGCCAAACAACAAGAGGAAGTAACTATAGTTAACAGGGGAAACATAGCTATAATTTTACTACAGAATAAGGTCTGGATAACTTGATTTGAATTTGAATTTAAAAGTTCAAAGAAAAAGGTTTTTAAAAAATGATATAACTTATTTTTAACTAGAAAGGCAAAGATTGTCAAGACAAACAAAAAAAGCAATGTCAGCATGACAAGATCTTGTTTTAAAAGATTGAAGTTTAAAAGTTTATAGACCTTACAAACAGAAAGAAAAATAGACAGAACAATCAATCAATAGAATGACAAACAGACAGACAGACAGACAGATAGACAGATAGATAGATAGATAGATAGATAGATAGATTCCTCTTCCTGTCATTCCAATTCAACCTCCTCCATGTTGTGGCCAATTATTCCAGATTTACACAATACGGTCTTCAAGAGAATACACACACACACACACACTCATATCCCATCTGCCATTGCAGCTGCTGTTGTGTTGCATTCATTTTAGTCCATAGTTTGTGTATCTGAAGTTAATTTTTACTCCCTCTTTTTTAAACAAAACTACGTATACGCTGGAGAGGTTTGAGTTAATGAAGTATTTTGTGGTAAATAAAAGCTGCACCCAGAAGCCCCACTCATTTACAGATGGAGTATGTATGTATATCTACGAGCACACATGTCGCTTCCCACGATCCCTTGCAGCTTCCCCTCACCGCCCCAGCTTTATATCAACACTAACTGAAAAGAGCAGGTGTTTCTACTTTAGCTTGAAAATCCTCCCACACACTGTCCAATTCGCCTATAAGACATCAGAATAAAACAAGACATATGTAGAGCTCAGAAAACTCCTCTCACGATCACAGCAGATGGTGAACAATTTCTCCAAAAGACCTCAACCTACAAACATCTCCTGATGCTGTAACTGTAAGCCTCGCCCTCTGAAATAAACCATTAATTGTAAGCCCGCACCCAAATAAACACCAGTCACTGTAAGCCCCACCCTCTAATAAACACTAGTCACTGTAAGCCCCACCCTCAAAAATACAGCATCTCTGTAAACCCCACCCTCAAATATACACCAGTCACTGTAAGGCACTGTAACCCCGCCCTCAAATAAACACCAGTCAGGGTAAGCCACTGTAAACCCCGCACTCTAATATAAGCCAGTCACTGTAAGCCCCACCCTCAAACAAACACCAGTCACTGTAAGCCCTGCCCTCAAACATACAGCAGTCTCTGTAAACCCCACCCTCAAATATGCACCAGTCATTGTAAGCCACTGTAACCCTGCCCTCTATTATAAGCAGTCACTGTAAGCCCCACCCTCAAACAAACACTAGTCACTGTAAGCCACTGTAAGCCCTGCCCTCTAACATACACTAGTCACTGTAAATCACTGTAAGCCCCGCCCTATAATATACAACAGTCACTGTAAGCCACTGTAAGCCCCGCCCTCTAATATACGCCAGTCACTGTAAGCCCCGACCTCTAATATACACAAGTCAATGTAAGACACTGTAAACCCCGCCCTCTAATATACGCCAGTCACTCTAAACCCCGCCCTCTAATATACGCAGTCCCTGTAAGCCCGACCTCTAATATACACCAGTCACTGTAAGCCACTGTAAGCCCCGCCCTCTAATATACGCCAGTCACTGTAAGCCCCGACCTCTAATATACACAAGTCAATGTAAGACACTGTAAACCCCGCCCTCTAATATACGCCAGTCACTGTAAGCCCCGACCTCTAATATACACAAGTCAATGTAAGACACTGTAAACCCCGCCCTCTAATATACGCCAGTCACT